GAAATGTCCAAAAGGCTCCGACAGGCTGAGCCTCAGAGCTCTGTGTAGCTGACTGAGGCTAACAGACGGCGGACTGAGTGCTAGGAGTGGCAACGGCTAAAGGTGCCTTTCAATCAAAGTGGCCACGCCCCTAATAATGCAGAACTTTAAGGCTTAATATAAATTAAACAGGTGAGTTATAAAAAAATTCATCCCCCTCGCAGTTGTCACGAAGGGAAAAATTAGCAATATGCACTAAAACCATTTTTTGAACCAGGCTGTAAACATGTTTTATTCTGCTGTAAAGTTGGGCATTTTAACATGGGGGTCAATGGAGATTGACTCCCTTCTGCAGCCAGCCTCAAGTGGCCACTCGATGAATTGCAGTTTCAGATACTTCCGTATTGGTATCGGAAGTGAGAGCCGGAGGTTGCTGCTTTGTTTCAAGGCAGCCTCACTCCACTAATTCTATTCACAGAACTAGGCCACCACCCTGGTGTGCCTTTTGGAGATTTTCCATGCAAAAACCGGATGGATGATGTCTTACTATGTAGTTAATTGGACTGACATACCTTCCAAGAATGCAAAATATGGTTTTAATTTGGTAAACTGTTGCTTGTGAATTGGGAATCAGATTAAATGTACTTGGAATAAAATCACATTCTTCAACGATCAGTCTACTATGTTAACTGGAAATAATGTGATCTAAACTTTTAACAAAATGACAGTAAACAGCTGTAAATGAAAATATGATGGTATTTATAAGTTAACATTTTGCTTATATGCTAGAAAGTTAAAAATTAAAAGCTGATGTCCAAATAAAACCAGCATATAACATTTCTTCAAGAGACAAATGTGACTGACTGAAGTTACACTGTGGAAAACAAAGAATTATCTGGACACTGAATAGTTTTGAAACCCCCAAGGAGGTGTAATTTATTGCGACCTCTGAGAAGGTCTTGTGTGGCTTACACGTTGTAGATGAACCTATATACCACTGATGCATTCGATCAGCTCTGAGACCTCAGAGTTTGCAAAGTCACAATTTATAATACCACCTAGTTGGATTCATAATTACTCAGTATGCAGGTCATTCTATGTTTCAGCACTTACACATAGGTTGGTTTGGATGTGTGCTCATTCTTCTTTAAATTAGACAGAGCAGCACACAAGGCACTCCTCAAACTTCAGGCTCTTGTACTGAGTGTAAGGGTCCTTTGTATAATGTAGGAAGTGGAAATACTTCTGCACACAAAGAAATATACTGCATAATTGGAAACATTTAATGTGAAACATAAACCATATTTGGGAGTATTTTCACTTTTCAATTTACAATAGATTTATCTCTCTAAGCAAGAGTTCAGTCAGTAGTAGAGACAGAAGGAGTGCAAATATATATGGAATTTATTGCAATGTGCACCATAAACAATATATTTTTTTTAAATGGCCACAAAACACAAATGTGGACATTATTTAAAACTAACATTAAATGTAAAAGTTAACAGAAGAAGGGAAGGCATTTTCTACGTCAGTTCATGCCAACAGATACCAGCACACTGTCCAGCACACTCAAGATGCATCCCAGGTCTCTGCAGCTCTCTGGGCACCAGGTGGGATATCTGACCACACTGTGAATATGGGAGGAAAATAAATGTGTAATAAATGCTTCAGATAATGGAAAATATAAAGTTAACCACAAAAGATGGCTGAGGTATATTTTGACAGCGCTATTATGTCACATTCTGGATAAAATGGAACAAAGCAAAACCTCAAAATGCGTGACAATCTTTATATCTTTTTGTCTTGTCCTTTAAAGACAGACCGTGGACAGACCATCTAGCACTAGCTTATAAGTTGTGACAAGTAATGTTATAATCAAGTGACAGCCAAATAAACGACTTGTAACTATAGTTAACCCAAGTGAAAATCTAAATTCAGGTTAATTGTTTTGCTTCAGATTGTTCGTTTGAGATATATTATGCATTTTTAGCCTTGTGTAGTATAATTGCAATAACAGATAAATTGTTATTTCAAGTCTTGTTGAGTAGTTTCAGGTTAACTTACCTCGAGTAGAACGTCAAGCTGGCAATGATACGGCCACCGGCTACCAACCACCAATGTCGATGTGCCTCTGGGGGTTTAGCCGATTAGCTTCCTCCATGCTAGCAACGCAGAGTAGCATATTAGTTTGGTAGCCATAGGTGCAAGGTTTCAGAAATCAGGAACCTCAGCTCCTTAAAAACAGCTGTTCAGAAATCAACGGGTGATGTCATGGATTTTTTATAGTCAATCATCATAATACACACAGTAATGTGCGCAGCATATCGACACAAAGGTATCAGTCATTGGCTGCTCAGACTTGACTTAGTGGGCGGGCCAAAACACATTGACAGGTTGAGTTTGCAAAGGAAAGGCAATGACAGTACGTCTCTTATCAACAGCACTGGCTCCAACAGAAATCACAAATGCCATAGACAATAAAAAATATGCGGTCAGAGTATTTATTGACTTAAAAAAAGCATTTGACACAATAAATCACTAAACTTTATTAAAGAAACTGGAACGCTTGTTATTAAATCTAAGCAAAACTACATTTATGGTATTTGGAAACTGAAAAACAAACAATCAAGCAAAGATACGGTTAGAGGGTGTCAACATAGAAAGAACACATGATACAAAATTCTTGGGAGTGGTTATAGTCGACAAAATGAGCTGGGAAAACCATATTAAACATATGCAAACAAAATTGTCTAGAAATATCTCTGTCATGGCAAAGCAAAGCACATGCTTGATTACAAATCATTCCATACTCACTACTGTTCATTGGTCTTACCTTATTTAAATTACTACACAGAAGTTTGGGGAATCACATTCCAAAGTACAATATAATCATTGATAGTACTGCAGAAAAGAGCAATACGTATAATCCATGATGTTGGTTTTTTGAATCACACCAATCTTTTATTTTTACAGTCTAAAGCTTTAAAATTCACTGACCTGGCTGAATTTCAAACAGCAGTACTGATGTACAAAGCATGAAATAAGCTCTTACCGACCAACATACAGAAAGTATTCTCGGAAAGAGACGGGACGTACAATTTAAGAGGGGCATCAAACTTTAAACTCCCAACTTTAGAACCACAAGAAGAAGTTTCAGTACAGCAATAAACACTTACCTAAAGGATTATTAGGAACACCATACTAATACTGGGTTTGACCCCCTTTCGCCTTCAGAACTGTCTTAATTCTATGTGGTATTGATTCAACAAGGTGCTGAAAGCATTCTTTAGAAATGTTGGCCCATATTGATAGGATAGTATCTTGCAGTTGATGGAGATTTGTGGGATGCACATCCAGGACACGAAGCTCCCGTTCCACCACATCCCAAAGATGCTCTATTGGGTTGAGATCTGGTGACTGTGGGGGCCATTTTAGTACAGTGAACTCATTGTCATGTTCAAGAAACCAATTTGAAATGATTCGAACTTTGTGACATGGTGCATAATCCTGCTGGAAGTAGACATCAGAGGATGGGTACATGGTGGCCATAAAGGGATAGACATGGTCAGAAACAATGCTCAGGTAGGCCATGGCATTTAAACGATGCCCAATTGGCACTAAGGGGCCTAAAGTGTGCCAAGAAAACATCCCCCACACCATTACACCACCACCACCAGCCTGCACAGTGGTAACAAGGCATGATGGATCCATGTTCTCATTCTGTTTATGCCAAATTCTGACTCTACCATCTGAATGTCTCAACAGAAATCGAGACTCATCAGACCAGGCAACATTTTTCCAGTCTTCAACTGTCCAATTTTGGTGAGCTCTTGCAAATTGTAGCCTCTTTTTCCTATTTGTAGTGGAGATGTAGTGGGTCTTCTGCTGTTGTAGCCCATCCGCCTCAAGGTTGTGCGTGTTGTGGCTTCACAACTGCTTTGCTGCATACCTCGCTTGTAACGAGTGGTTATTTCAGTCAAAGTTGCTCTTCTATCAGCTTGAATCAGTCGGCCCATTCTCTTTTGACCTCTAGCATCAACAAGGCATTTTCGCCCACAGGACTGCCGCATACTGGATGTTTTTCCCTTTTCACACCATTCTTTGAACCCTAGAAATGGTTGTGCATGAAAATCCCAGTAACTGAGCAGATTGTGAAATACTCAGACCGGCCCGTCTGGCACCAACAACCATGCCACGCTCAAAATTGCTAAAATCACCTTTCTTTCCCATTCTGACATTCAGTTTGGAGTTCAGGAGATTGTCTTGACCAGGACCACACCCCTAAATGCATTGAAGCAACTGAGAAATTGAACAGGTGTTCCTAATAATCCTTTAGGTGAGTGTATGGTGTCAAAATATTGAACAAAATAAAAGATGGGGTCAAAGAGTGTCCAAACATATTTCAATTTAAAAATAGATTCAAAGAAACTGTTCTCCAGAAATACAGAGACAAAGAAGGGTGTTAACAACAGGGTTTTTATGTTTTTTTTGTATGTTTGTTTTTCCCTCAGGGATCCATATGTAGGTGGGGAGTGTGAATATATATTGAGTGGGTGCACGAATTGACTGGATAATTTTGTAATTATTAGTTAACTATCTAGAGATTAAAAGGGGGTAGGAGTATATAAGTTTTAGTTCTTCCTACCCCCTTCCAAACATGTAAGTAAAAGTTTTCTTTTTTTGGCAATCATAAATTGTATGTTTGGTTGCTAAATGTTTTTTTTGTTTTGTTTTGTGTTATTCTGAATGTATGCTTTTTAAAAAAACATGTTTGAAATAAATATATCAATCAATTAAAAGGGAATGACAATGTCAATAGGTTTCGTAAGGAAAAGGTTAAAGCAAACATATGTATTTATTCTTTAATGAATGTATTCTTTCTATTTTATATTTATTTCTTTATTCTTTCATTAATTCATTCTTTCTTGCATATATTTCCGCATTTATTTCTTTATTCTTTTATTCATTTATTGATTCTTCTGGCACTTTAGGCGTTCCATAGCCCAGGCTTTAAAAAGGAGGAAGTGACCGACTAGCCCACAGACTGCTGTCAAGATGGCTCCAAGTGGGCTGAAAGCGGTAGTAGGAGAAAGTAAGTGACACACTCGTTGTAATATTGTCTGCTTTCAGAAGTTTCTTACAACTAAAAACACCTAAGTAGTTTATTCGAGGTTATCTCTCGCTTGGTAAATTGACGCTCAAATTATAACACAAAACACTGCTGGGCAAGTTGGTCCACCAAATGTTTCTTCCTGGTCCAGTCCTAAATAAAATGCTAACATTATCGACGGAAATCATGTTTAGGCTTACACATCGGGGGTAAGAACTAGTATTTTTGTGTTGCATGTATTGGTAACAACGTTTGCTGAGGGGAAATGGTGTTTTTTGTGACACTTTGCGGACGTAAAAAGCGGCGTTAGTGAGTAGAAATGCATGACAGTCCAAGTTATAGGCTAATGTTGGCTAGCTTAAAGGAAGGAAGGAAGTTCGGTAACGTCGCTTGTGATGGACTAAGTTAAATCAGCTGGTACATTTGTACAGTGTTATGCTGTAAACGATTTAAACATCAACGAAATAAATACGTTAGTTACAAAATGTTTTAATGTAACGGTAGTGATATTTCAATATGAACTCAGATGATATCTCTTTTGACAACTATATTTCCATCACGTCATAGAATTAATGGGGCATTAACAGTAACGTTAGGCTACTTCAAGTAACGGTAGGTAACGTTAATGATTAATACAAGTATACACGAATCTCTACCAGGACAATTAGCGTTGTTGATGCAATAGTACAGTTTAAGATTAGCCGATACATTTTTGTTTAATATTTCAGCTATTAATGTAAGTTTAATCAACTTATAATTGTAATGCATGTCTGTAAACATATCCTTTTAACTATGCCAAGGGTTTGAAGATGTTTGCAATAGTATATTTTGTTGTATAGCGTAGGAGTGTAGTGTGAACACGCCCGTCACTCAGAAGTGCTGAAATCTACAGGTGTGTACTGGTAATGCAAGTAACCCTGACAATGCCCAGGATTCAGAGATCACGCCAACAATGACTTGTTGTTAGCTTGTGCTAAGCATGTAACCCTTTTTATTTCTGAGTTTTGGAATGCCCTCCCTGCACAAATTTGAATATGAAATCCGTATTTGTGCGGCCGGCCTTAGGAAATGGGAAGGTAGCATGTGGACGGTCTTACGTGCACGATCTGATGCTCGAAAACACTGTTGTCCCCGCAAGTTGAGTTAAAGCATGGCAATTGTGCAGGGCCTCTCCCTTTTCATTGTTAATGCTGTCATCTTTTGTAATAAACTCAAAGCAGGGACAGAATAAAGGCAAATAAGGACTAATATAGCATTCTGTAACTAGGACAGGCCTCGGAGCAATTTTGTATGCTGATATTTCGGTACACTTTGCACAAATTACCACAATATAGGCTAAGATTAAAATTGCAAAAATGGTTTGATGGCTTTCGACTTTAACGTGGAGAACCCCAGTTACAAATGGTCATCTCTTCCAGTTTCCTTTATGGAAATAGAGTGGGCTTTGTGGCACAAGATGTTTGTCAGTGAGGAATTTTCCATTTTGTCAAACTATCTTCTGGGGGGGGGGAGAAATGCCAAACATTATTTTGGAATCCATTCATAACATGGTGATTTACAATAGATGTTAACAGAAGGTGAAGAACAATCTTTTTTTTTTTTTTTTATTTATAGCCAATTATGTCAAGTGAACTGATGTGGTAATAAGACTTATAACAATGACTCCTATGTCTTGGGAGTCACCGCTGTGTTTCTAATGAGGTTAAACATGGAAATGTTGAACATGGTATCACAATGGTGGTGGTCTTGTTATTCGTGTCTCTTCCCACTCTCACCTACCTTCTGTACACTAATAAAGAGGAAACCATTTAGCTGAGGTGGTTAGACACCTAGTTTCGGGTGAGTAGATTAGGGCCTAAACAATAACTACACTAATGGCTTTTGCTGTGTGAAATGGCACCTCAGCTCTTTAACGTTGAAGGATAATAGGTTTTTGTGCAAGGCGAACCATCTGCATTCTGAAACCTTGCAGTACCAAACCTCATCTGTTGGGCCTTTTTTTTTTTTTTTTTTTTAAAGTCAATGGTGGGGTGTGTGCACGCACGCTGTAATCTCAACAGTAAAATGAAGGAAGTTGCACCTAACGGAGTTGGTAAATACAAGTGCTAAATAAGAGTTTGTTCAAGAAAGTTCCTAGTTCCTCATTAGGAGTTTTAGACTCCTAACCTCTTGCACTATGTTTATACATGAAATGCAACACTTCAATTTGATATTTCCCCTGCCCTTATATCTATTTAGAGTAATTCAACTTTAGGCATCACAACTCAATTAAGCCACATGTATTGTTAGTGTTTAGTCACTGGTTTATAATGGATTGAATGCCACTTTTTGTCATAATTGAGGAATTTGCCACGAGATGTATTGTACAAATTATGAATAAATCCTCTAACAAAAATTAGACATATGGCGTTACAAACTGCATTGCCAGCAACACTTCTTACTGTTTTACCTAAAGAATTTTGTGCAGCGTTAGAAATGTTTCCTCAAGTCTGTAATCTCATGAACTTCTCTTCTACAGAAATCCTCAATGGGGTCATCAAGAGTGTTAAGAAGGATGGGGAATGGAAGGTAACAGTTGACAATCAAGACTCCAGAAAACCTGATTTTTATCATACTGTCTTTATAACCTGTCTATCTCGCGTTTCTTCAGGTTCTCATTGTGGATCACATGGGCATGCGGATTCTGTCCTCTTGCTGCAAGATGTCTGACATTTTGGCAGAGGGGGTGACCAGTAAGTGTACAGACAATTATGGTCTTTCATCCCATGGATCAGTTGTATACATGAGGGATCAAACTTAGTAAGCAATGTGCTTTAACTTTTGCCAGCCTCTTTGAACTCTTGTCATAGAGCAGTCTGGGGATTTTTATAGTATGTGCTTAAAGCAGGGTTTGGGTAGTTCAAGTGAAATGTAAGAAATGTTGTCCTGGCCACATACAAAATGCTCAACCTCTTCCCAACATCACATCTTGATGGCCATGACAATGCCCACATTCTCCAGGGGCATAAATGGTAACTGCCTGATTTGCTTAACATAAAACCAATGCAGTCCATACAAAGTAATACAATACAGTAGTACAACAATAACAAAGTCTAAATCTGCACTTGTGAAAGTGTTTAAAGCAACCAAATGTGTGAATTTCCCATGGATTGATGTTCCCCACACACTTAATTCATGCTAGCATTTACTAATTTTTATCTGCTTATCCATTCTATAACTGTATTTCACTTTAGATGCTTTTATTTGCAGCTCCATGCAATATTTAGCCAGATGTTTAATGTAGTAAAAGTACTGTTTTCTCCTTTTCAGTTGTGGAGGACATCAGTAAACGAAGAGAGCCAATCTCTTCTTTGGAGGCCATTTATTTGATTTCACCTGTGGAGAAGGTTAGATGTTGCCTTTTCCTCAGGTCCCTCTATATTATTCTGTGCCCTGTGTGTGGGTGTTTTTGGGTTTTTTTTTTTTTTTTTTTTTTTTTTTTTTTTAAAACCATGTTCTTAACCTTAATTTGTTTTCAATTACAGTCAGTTCATGCACTGATAAATGACTTCAAAGACTCTGCTTTTACTTACAAAGCAGCACACATCTTCTTCACTGACAGTAAGATTTTGTGTGTACTGTGCTTATTTGCATCATTACTTTCATGTTGAAATTCCATGTTTAAACACATGATGATTAAACCTAAAGGTAATATGTTTATAAATCTGTTATTTTTAAATGTACTGTGCAAAACATTTAAAGTTTCAAAATATATCTAATCATTAGATCACACTTTTGACATTTCTAATTTCATTGTTTTTACTTCCATAGCTTGTCCAGATGGTCTCTTTGCTGAGATTGGGAAATCCAGACTTTCGAAGTTCGTCAAAACTTTGAAAGAGGTCAATGTTGCTTTTCTGCCATATGAGTCCCAGGTAGGGCATGATCTAATTTACCTAAACAACTTCATTTTAGGCCACACAGCTTATACACTTTTGTTTTAGATATGTTTTGGTTACTAACAGCTCTTGAGAAATATCGGTCTCTAGCTGTTAAGTGTTCCATTATGTGCAGCAGCTAGTCTCTATTTTGTCGGTGTAGTGTTTCGGGCATGGCAGATCATGGGTTATCAGAGCTTTTTCACTTCAAATGCTGCCTGCTGAGGCTAGAAACACAGTTGAAGAGAAAGTTTAAGAAGCAAACAAAACCTTAACATTGCAGGCAGTAAAACCACAATGAGCTGTAAGAAGAGCTGAGGGGAACTGGAAGAGTGTGCTCACAATTCTTGAGCAGCACCTTTCACATTACACGCCGTTAGGTTTTCATTGTTAATTTAAAAAGATCAATAGTGAAGCATGATTGTTGTAAACATTACTGTATAACAAAACCTCAATCCCTCTCACACCTGCAGGTATTCTCCCTGGATGACCCGACCTCCATGTACTCCTTCTATCGTTGTCAGCCAAATGAAGAAAAAGGCAAAATGATGGAAAAACTGGCAGAGCAGATTGCGACCTTGTGTGATACACTTAAGGAGTACCCTATAATCCGCTATCACAAGTATGGAAGCCTAGGATTGAAGTACACAAACCATAGTTTGCCACTGAATTTGCTAATTCACTTGTATACCACTGTCTCTCTTAGGGGACCAGAGGAGAATGCTAGACTGGCTGAGGAGGTCTATCAGCGGCTTACTGCTCACAAAGCTGACAACCCAAGCATGGGGGAGGTTAGGAACTACATAGCCACAACAATTATGTGCTCTACTGTATTAAAACAATTATTTGAAAAATGGTTAACTGAATTGTTATACTTTTTTATTTTTCCTGCTATACCAACTTTTCTGTATAAGAATACACTTCTTCTTGGATTCTGCTGCCTTTCACCTTCACAGGTTGTGGCTGTTTCTTTGGTTTCTGGGTTTTATTTCCTGTTTACTTTCTCACACTTTGCTGGACCTCTTACCCCTTCTTCCCTTCTTTTCTGTCTCTTAGCTGACATTTCCTTGCTTCTGAGATTGGGGCGTAACAGGCATGTATCATCCCCCCCCCCCCCCCCAAGTGCATTGCAATGCTGTTTAAGTATTCTCTTTAACTGTACTTGACATTGCAAGTTTGCTTAAGGGAGGCTTCATGTTAAATCACTGCATGACACATTCACAAACATAATAAAGGGCCTTATTTCATGCATACTATAGAGTAAATGCGAATTTAAGGATCTGTGAAGGAGATTTCATTGAGATGAGGGAGAGATATAAAAATTTATTTTATTTTTAAAGGGTGCAGACAAGGCGCGCTCCCAGCTACTGATTGTTGAGCGTGGATTTGATCCCATCTCACCTATCCTACATGAGTTGACCTTCCAGGCGATGGCCTATGATTTGCTAGATATCAAACAGGACATCTATACGTGAGTGAACATCTTATTGTATATCAGCTGCTGTTCAATTATTTTGCCAGGTCAGTGTGCTGTATTGGGTGTACCGTTTCTCCATTCCCATTTGTTATACATGTGTACTTGTGTTTCAGTTATCAGACAACTGGCATTGGGGATTCGAAAATGAGAGAAGTGTTGCTGGACGAAGATGATGATCTCTGGGTTCAGCTCAGACATATGCACATTGCAGATGTCACTAAGTAAGTCTCTCACAACTAGATGAGTATGTCTATCTCCACATGATTGGGTCTCACGGTCATCCTTCCTAACAAGTTCTGGTCCTAGATTTCACCTGTAATAACTTCAAAACACACGCTTTGCTTGGTGTTCTCAAAGTTAGAAATCATGTGTTACACCATGGCAAGAAATTCAAGTGTTGAATTGTAACACATTTGGTGGAGAGTAATGAATTGATTGACTAATCTATGACAATTATAATGTAGGCCCTTGTCAGTTTGCAGTAATCTTAATAGAAAGATGGCATAAAATATGTTCCGCCTGTGTAAATATAAAGCGGGCTGTTTTGTGATCAGTGGAAACACAAAAGTTAGTGGAATGACTCTGAAGTATGATGTGTGCTAATATAAAAGTTGGGTAAAAATTTGACCCTGTAAGGTACTTGCAGAAAAATCTTATTGTGCTCCTGCACAAGGTGACTAATCGCATTCAAAATCCACTTTTGCAGGAAAGTGACAGAGCTTCTTCGCACCTTTTGTGAAAGCAAGAGAATGTGCACAGACAATGTGAGTGTCCTTGTGTGGTACTCAATTTAGTAAAATTATTAAAGATTTCTGATAAGATGAAGAGCGTTATGTCTGTTTATAATGCATTTTGGTTAAAATGTGTTTCATTTCAGGCAAACATAAAAGATCTCTCCCAGATGTTAAAGAAGATGCCACAGTATCAGAAGGAGCTGAGCACTGTGAGTGTGACAAAAAGCTAACCTTTCACTGTTCCGTGGAGTAGCTCCAGAAGTATTTGCGCTCATGTCAAGTTGTCAGTCATGCTTGTAGCTTTGACAAAAGGTTTTCTGGGTTTTAAATATGAATGTTATAAATAAATTAACAATCTTTTATGCATTTTTAATTCACAGTACTCTACCCATTTGCACCTAGCTGAAGCTTGTATGAAGAAATTCAAGGCCTCTCTTGATAAGCTTATTGAAGTGGAACAGGTCAGTACTCATGTAGGATGTATAATAGGAATAGACTATTGAATTTGTCTCAAAGCAATAAGGATACAAATGGCATTAATGTCACAACAAACGGCTGATTAAAAAATATAGTTTTTGAAATGTCTTAAATGAGAAGTGGTTAATTTCATCTAGATAGTACATTGTGAGTGAAGCTATAATTGTCATGTACATGTTTAGTTGGAGGTATAAATACAAACATGACAAAATTCTCTTGATCCCTGAAGAGAGGCACCTATAGATAGCAATTTGGTCATTTTACCTAACATTCTTGGAATGTGTCTGCTCATGAATTGTTGTCAAAACAACCTGTGTGTGTGTGGGGGGGGGGTTATATAACAAGGGATCAACTAAAATGTTTCACTGTTATTCACTGACAGTAAGTATCTTGGAGAGAATGTCAGACATGGAATTAATGTGTCCCATTCACTTTGCACACACCATGACCTCAATAGCGTCTTTATTTATTGCTCCTCTGGCTTAAATGCCACTGGCACAGACTGGTATTTAATGGAGAATCATAATATTGCATAAGAAGCTTGGGACAGGATATCAACGGCCATATATCTGCTGAAGGCTGTGTTATGTCATCACTGAGTGTGAAAGGCATTTAATAACATATGCATGCATATACTACTTGGTAGTGTAGGAATCCTATCAACATGAGCCTACGATAAAGCCACATGCCTGACCAGTACCAAGCCCCAGTGTTTATCTGTCAGACATGCTTTGTCTCCCTAAGGGCAAGTATTGTAGTCCTCAATCAGATGAGTCATGAGCATACAGGAAAGGAAAAGCTATGCATAGTTGTGGCATTATGAGATGCAAGTGTTAATGGGGCCTTTTTGTACGAGTGAATCACTCGACTGCACTAATGGATTGTCAGCATGTCTGAAAGCTGCCTCTTTAATCCAATGGTCATGTTTTGGCTCGAAGATGGACAGTGTGATCCAAACAGCAACAGCTCTGTCAGCTGTCATTTGTCTAACTGTTCAGCATTGTTTGGACAAGCCAATACAAATGTGTGTAATGCTATGAGCATAATGATGTGATGTATTTTTATGTGCTCTCCTAGCCACTCTAGTTTCAATTGCTCATAGAAAGTTTTGTCATTGATTGGCCTTAACAACAAGGCTTCAATATCATGCAGCTTAGCAAGAGTTTTTAGGGAGGTCACAGTGCCCAGGATTGCATTAAAGGGAAATCCCAAAGCTAGATGTTAAGTATAAAAGCCCAAGTGGCTAAGAGTCCATATTTTTGACATGGTTAATGGATTACAAATGCTACTCTGCAAGTTTACTGTGTAATTTAGGACATTTTCTCATGGAAAAGTTGTAAATATTAAATTATTAGAGCAGTTTATGTAACACCAGCATTAACTATATATATGGTTTATTGAAAGGGTCAGCAAGTGTGCAGAGTGCTAATGTAGTACTCCTAAAACCATAATAAGGTCATGTGGTCAAGTGTTGGGGGGGGGGGGGGGGGGAATGGAAAAGGGTTGAAAGCAAGCCATCCTCCTGAATAAGCTGTCAGCTAACTTAAGTTGTAGTTGGTCATTCAGATTCCAATTGTACTTGATAGTTTACCACGGGTGTCTTCCACAGGACCTGGCAATGGGAGCAAATGCAGGAGGAGAACCTCTAAAGGATGCCATGAAGAGCATTGTTCCTGTGCTCCTCAACAGTGAAATTGAGACCTATGACAAAATCCGCATCATACTGCTGTACATATTCCACAAGAAAAAAGGTCTGTCTCAATTACAAGGCAAATATGAACAGAAGCTTTGGAGTGAATAGCAGAGAATCAAGTCTTTGTGTGTTTTTATTTGGTTTGTTTTAAATAAAGTGTGGTTATTCATGCAGGCATTGGGGAGGAGAATCTTGGCAAGCTCATCCAGCATGCAAACATACAGGCCGACCGCAATATCATCACCAACCTGCAGAACCTGGGATGCAACATTATAGCTGGGGTATATTTGATTGCCGTTTGGTTAAGCCTGAATGTTGATATAAAATGTATTCTCTCAGTGTCACATCTCCATATTGATAGGGTCGGAATGCTGGAAAAACCCTGCCAGAGCGGAAGGAGCGTACGGAGAGCACATATCAGCTCTCTAGATGGACACCCATAATCAAAGATGTCATGGAGGTATTAACCCAATATGAGGTTTCTGATGTTGCTGGCAAACCTGCTCAATTTTGTTTGTGGTTTTTACGGTTATATTTCTCTATCACAGAATGCCATAGAGGACAAACTAGACAAAAATCAGTGGCCCTTCATTTCTAATCCTCCCATCAACACAACTCAGTCAACAACTGCAGTCAGGTGGGTGCTGGAAACTGACTCACATTTTGTTAGAGTTCACAATGTGTATAAAAGAAACAAACAGCAACTGGTTTATCAGACAGATTAATGTTTAAATACTCTTATTCTCAGACTCCAGCTTTTCACAAAGCAAGCTGAAACAGTAAAACAAGGCAGTTTCTTTGAATACAAATATCCCCCAGAATTCCTATCATGATAGTGCTTATACAAACTACTCTCATGGCCCTCATAATCTGCATAATGCATGTGTGTGTTAGCAAAGTGCAGAATTAAAACGGAGTTGTCATTAATATAAACACTAGAATATAGGCTGGCTATATAAAACCGGACATGGAATATAACATTATGAAACTGATTAGCAGAAGTAGTAAACGAGGCATAAATGCAAATATAAACTTAAACTAGGTGTTTGACCAGCAGGGCTGCTTGCGCACTCCCACATGTGCATTGAATTATTTCTTAAACGTCTCATTAACTAATGAACAATTTGCCTTCTGAGTAGATAAGGCAGGTGTGCTGGCATTCTGCCAAAAGGATGATTTTATAGAACTTACCATTTTCCAAGTTCAATTATGTGAATACAGCATCAAAGAGGAGCTTTGCATACTTTTTTGAAGTATGTGGAAATTGATTACTTTTTGAAACTCACTGATTGCAAACAAGGATTAGTTATAGTAATTGTTGCACAATTGTTTCTCTTACAGCAGTGCACGTTTTGGACACTGGCACAAAAATAAACCTCCAACAGAATATCGCTCTGGACCTCGGCTTATTATATTTGTGATTGGTGGGGTGTCACACTCAGAGATGCGCTCTGCTTATGAAGTCACTCGAGCCACTGATGGGAAATGGGAAGTGCTGATTGGTAAGCAATCACTGTGGAGGCCATGGGGTTTTTTTTTTAATCCCAAAAATGTAGAGTTCAAAAGGTTTTTATCTTTTATATTAACATTATTTTCTTGACAGGGTCATCTCACATCCTGACTCCAACCAGCTTCCTCAATGACCTGAAAAGTCTGGACCAACTTCCTAATCCTGATTGTTAGGGTCAGGGAAGAGCACACTGATGTGCTTGCTCATGCAGCACATCTAATAAATATCATTCGATACAGGGAAGAGCACACTGGATTAAAGGTTTAGTCTTTCGTTTGAGATGAATGGTTGCTGGTCTGTCGTAGCATCTGACATCTGAAGTGAATGTTTATATATATATATATATTTTTTTTTGGTTTTGAATTGGGTTCTATATACTGCTGTAATTTAAATTGTATTCAAATATTTAATTAGACCATATTCATATTTTGATTATTCTACTGCTGTAACTTAAATTATCATTTGTTAAATATATTTGATTTCCCTAATTTTGTAGATCAAAAAATTGCATCCTTACCAAATGGACCATCTCGCACCAAAAGTCTTAAAGTTTAATGTAGATGTATTTAAGTCGATAGACGGGTGGCTGTGTGTGTGTGTGTGTGTGTGTGTGTGTAGAGATCATGTATTCATTCTCATTAAGTATGAGATTACTATCTAGAGAGGAAAAACGAAAACTTCTTTCTCTGTAGGTACCCCCCCCCCCCGTGAAATGTAATCTTAGACAAAATGTCTCAACTGCTGTGTTAAGAATTCTTGCACAACTACCATGTATGCATATATTGCTAAGAGCAAGTGTGGTGGGTGTTCTTGGTCTTTGTTTAAAAATGTGTAATAAAAATGTAATTCACTTTAAATTGTGTGTAGTATTCCAGCAGACTCTCAATCTGCAGAAAGTTGTTAAATGTGTGATAAAATGACCTCAACTCATAGTCCACCTACAAGCTTTGTCAAACATGCTGTTCACAAAGAATGAACTTTCTTGCTGAGAATTACTTTAAATCATTAGACTTCTGATATCCTTGCCTTTAAGAGAATATAGTCTGATTTGTACTGTCTGTCTCCTACTTGAATATTCACAACTATGCCCTACAGACGATCTTATTTAAATTTAATTTGTTCAATAAATATGCAGGGTGTTTTCTATCCCCCTTATTTAGTTAAATGCTCATTACTGTGTAGTGAGCAAAAGGCCATTTACCAAAATATATTGTCCTTACTTCTAATGTGTAAATTATCACATTGAAATGAACCCACAATACAAATGTAAAAATCTTGTATCCTACTTTTTTTTTTGTTTTTTTTTTTTTTTAAATCTTGTGGCATATGCCTACTTGCACCATACATTGACAATGTCGTGGCATCACAATGTGTAACATGAAATTTAAGCAGTGTTAAGTCAGAAGGAAGAATATGTACACCTACCAGTGGAAAAAGATCATCCCTCTCCATGCTGAGGATTATGTTTTCATCTGGGATTACAGATGGTAATATTAAGATCGGGTCACAGGCTGGGTTCTTAATGGTCATGGGTTAATACACATGGCTTAACTGTTGTTTAAAAGCCCACCACCAAGCCATACCCAGTACACATTTGGACTAGCATCAACCAGGATAATTTCCATTGCACATACAATAGTTCTATTAAAGGATTTAATGGATTCTCTATCAATTGCAGGAAATACTTGTGTAACCTTCTCCACTGTTTCACATTTTATTTAGTTTTCCATTTACTTTTTGTATTTTTCATCATGGCAGCTGGTGAAGTGGACTCAAAATCAGGAACTACCAATGCTGTGCTGGTAAGAACTTTGTAGCATAACATCCAACCCTGTGTTGGAAATTTATTTGTACTGTATTATAAAGAATTGTGTATTTCTTTTATATATTTTTGCACAGAATTATTTAATTTTCAAAAGTGACCAAAATAAGTAAGTTTATAACTAAAATAACTTTTATCACAACTTGTTGGCAATGTAATATGCTGCAATTGATTACATGTTGATATTACATTGTGTTTGAACCCAACATGGGCTCCAGGACTTTTACTGTGGAGAGTTTGAAAGGATTAGCTTTCAGGAGTAGTTTTCATTTTACATTGGGCGATGAGCCTAATTATGGATGAATTGCAGGGGTTACGGCCAGGGTTTAAATACCGGATACTAGACAGGTTGCAAAGGGCTTAGTGTATGCAACTGCACAGGTGGTGTGATGAATAAATGACTGAAGTCTTCTCCAAATGTGACTTGTTTTCTCAGGAACCTAGGAGTAATAACCATCTTGTCCCTTCCCCCAACATCTCAGTGACAGAGAGTACTCCAGATAGAAACAGAAAGCTTCTGTTTGTACCAGTCAACCAATTACAGGTTCCTTCTCAGCGTGACTGCTCCAATTCCATAAAGGTCTGTCTGTCGGACTTGTATGTGTTAAATAAATTCATGCTGATTTGGTCACTTTGTTATCGCACTGTTTTTGTCTAATAGGAAGCATCACCTGATGAACAACAGAAGTTCATGAATATGATCAGCTATGGCCAGCGTGGATGCATGGATGACCAGCGCTGTTCATTGGATCCTAGCAGGAGTGCTCCCTGCACACCCAAACACACAAACATAAAGCATTCTGCAAGTACATTAAACTCAGGTGATAATGAAAATTTTGTAAACATTACGTAAACATTCCCAGAAGTGTATTGCAATGATTGTAATTGCCTCTTTCTTGCCATTTCTTCTCGTCAGAGCCAGATTCATAGGACAAGTTCCATTTTCATTTAAATTCAAGTTCCCTGTCTATATAATTAAATAACTATTTCACCTGTTTTTTTGTTTCATCTTCCCGGACCAGATTCTGAAATGTTCTTCAACATCTTGGCCAACAGTCAGAGCCAACGGCTCAACGACCAGCGAGTGTCTCTTCCGTCATTACCAGGACTAGAGAATGAAAATACTGCTGCAAAATCTACTACAGGAGAAGATTCAAGCTACTTGTGCTACATGGTCTCTAAAGTCCAGGTTGGTATTTTTCTTTTTCAAAGAACAAAATATTTCACATTTTTAACAGCAATTGATGAAAGTAGCAATATACTATAGTGAGGTTGGCTCTGGCTTTAGAATGTGGGCAAACTATTACACAGATATCATGTAATTTGTGGGATGCTCCAAATAGCAAAAATAGGACTTCACAGAGTTTTGGTGTGCCACAAAACACTGAGGATTGCTGGACTCTACTTACTGTATTTACAGGATTCCAGAATGGAGGACCAAAGGTGCTCGCTACCTGAAATCATAACCAAAGAGTCCCAGTGTTCACAGTCCACACCCAGACATGAGCCCAGTCAGAGCACTGTGCCCAAAGGTTAGAAAATAAACATATTTGCCTTCCTGCATTTTTTCTTTCTTTTAATGTTTCTACAATAATACTTTCATTGCTCTTGCATCTTATAATGTAATTATTGTTTACATATTTGTTCATCAAAACTAACATGTCTCTTTTTTTCCATCACAGGTCCAGATTCTGAAAAGTTCTTCAGCCTGCTTGCTGACTCTCAGGGCCGAAGGCTTAATGACCAGCGATTGTCTCTTCCTTCATTGCCAGGGATACAGAATGGAGGTACATCGTCAACATCAACTGCTGCAGAGAGGGATGCAAACTACTTGTGTTACATGGTCTCCAAAGTCCAGGTTGGCCCCATATATGTGGTGTAAACACAATTATGAAAACTTATTGACAGTTTTTGTCATTTTGTTCCACAAAGTCTTCACATATATATATATTTGCAGATATAGAATATGTTTAGCAATACATCCAACTGCTTTGATCCAACATTATAACAATGAATCATATTTTTCTTCCACAGGACACAAGGCTAGATGAACAGAGATGTTCTGCACCCCAAATCCTCCAGAATCTGGCTACCCCATCTGCTCAGCGCAAAGATCCTCCCATTTCAGATGCATCTGGCTCCTTAAACCATGCCAAATCTGACCAACAGCTCCAAGTGAGATGTCATGCCACATAATACACAGCTTATATTTTTGCCAATATGTAAGTAAGACAGTAAAATGACATTAGTGATGAATATTGAGGCTGTGGTTGTTTCATTTTGTCTCCTGATTATTTTGAGTGGCAACTTCTGTTGATATTTGCGAGCCGTCCCATTTCTCATTACTTTTCTTTTTTTTAGGAGGCATCTCCAGCTGAGCAGGATCAGTTCCTTAAAATGATCAGTCATGCACAAAGCGGACGTATGGATGAACAACGTTGCTCTTTACAAAGTACACCCACACACAATGGAAGTGCTTTAAATAATGTAACCACTTGTCAGAAACACACACAGGGCATGTAAGGTCAAGTATGTGTTTTCTGTCTGAGACATTCCGGCAGTAACTCTTGACTCTCCGTAACAGGTGCAGAAACTGACGCATTCTTCAAAATCATTGCCTCCAGCCATGGAGGACGGCTAGATGATCAGCGTGTTTCACTTCCTACCCTGCCAGGGATAAGTGGGAATTCTGAAGAAAAAGAAAATGGTAGAAATACAAAGGATGGAATCCTAGTAAGTTTTAACATTTGAATTATTGGTGGTGCGAACACAATATTGACAAATATTGCTGAATTTAGTTACGTGTTATTTTTATGTCACACACCAACAAAGTGAATGGTATGTAGGACATGATGTGTGTCTGACAGTATGCTGACAGGTTCTTGTCTCGACAATACTGTAAATCAAGAACTATTTATGGCACAAATGTTGTACTTGGACCACAGGTTCCCCCAACTGAATAGCTGAGCTGAACAGATTTTGGAGCACCTTCATGGCTCCAAATTCAGATATGGATCTCACTTCTAGATATGGAGCATATTTTTACCACCTGTATTTTCATGGAAATATTTGCTTAATAAAAAGCTCTATGCCCACAATTGAATATATTACAGCTATCATGGCAAATACTTGATGGCTCAACTTCCTTTTGTTTTCATTTTCCTTTTCCAAGTCTTCTCCACCACACATCACTGTGGCTGAAAGTACACCAACAACATCAAGGAAACACTGTCCCAGACCTACCTCTCAACCCCAAATGGCGCATGCAGAATCTGGCTCCCCCAGAGTCCTACCCAAATCTGCTTCATTTACACCCGATACAGAATATCAGAAGAAGCTAAATTCCCCAGCACAGGTAAACTGTTCACCTTAAATATAAGTGTTGTGACTGCTGGGAGAAAAAACACTTTTCATTTTATCAAGTGATGTAAATAGACTGCATTTACCAATCTGGTTGTGCTGTAATGACTTGCATGAAGGACACCAAATCGTTGAATCCAGCTTTTAATTATTACTTAATGAGGCAAAGTGACAAGTGACACTATTTTTCTGAACTCATTACTACACATAAACACAATCCCAGGTTTCTGTTTAAGACTGTTGTTTAGCTGGTAAACCCAACCCATCCTTGTGCCTCAGCTGGAAGTAATGATGACTGTGAATTGTTTGTATCTTATTTTACCAATAAGGTGGTGTCAATCAGAGCCTCTATTACCCGCATGGCCTCTTACTCAGAGGTCCCACACCAGCAACAACAGAGTTTTAACCAGTTTTATCCCATCAACTTGTATGAGCTTTTAAAAACAGTGTCACAAATGAGTGTCCTCCAGCCCACTTCATGTAATACCTACAAAGTTTTTACTGAAAGTAATGGATTCTGTTGGGCCCCATTTGATCTCTGTTTTTAACAGCTCCCTATCTACTGGTTGTGTCCCTGATTATTTTAAAACGGCTTGAGTGAACCCACTTTTAAAGAAACCTGGTTTAGATCCCTCCCTCCCACAAAATTTTAGACCAATTTCAAAACTGCCTTTTATTGCAAAGATTCTACAAAGAATTGTGTCCAAACAGCTGCTCACTGTACTGGAAAATAACAAATTATTTGAAAAGTTTCAATCTGGTTTCAGGAAGTACAACAGCACTGAGACTGCCCTGCTTAAAGTAACCAATGACCTTTTAATGTCTGCCGATGATGGCATGTGCTCAGTCCTGGTACTTTTGGACCTTAGCGCTGCTTTTGACACCATTGATCACAACATCATGTTAGACAGACTGAGGCACTGGGTGGGGATCTCTGGTACTGCCTTAGAATGCTTTTCATCTTCGTTCTGTCCAGTTAAATATGGTGTGCCTCAGGGGTCGGTCTTAGGACCCATTTTGTTTTTCTTGTATCCGCTTCCCCTTGGACATATTATCCATAAACATTTCTTTTCATATTTATGCTGATGACACACAAATGTACTTGCCCGTCAGATCCACAGACCTTGGAATTCTGAGTTCACTTAATAATTGCCTTTGTGAAGTTAAAAAATGGATGTCAAATAATTTCCTCCAGCAGATGGCAAAACAAGTCCTGCCATCTGCTGGTTCCCTAGTAAATCACATTAAGCCTGTTGCAAAGAACCTTGGTGTCTGGTTTGATAGTAATTTAAATTTCAAGCAGCACACCACAAAGCTTGTTCAATCATGTTTTTATCAACTTAGAAATATAGCAAAAATTCGATCTATGTTAACTTTTAAGGACACCGAGACTATTTTACACGCCTTCATCTCATCACGCCTGGATTATTGCAACAGCCTTTTCACCTGTTTAACCCAAAAATCTACTGATCGACTCCAGACTGTCCAGAACTCAGCTGCCAGGCTTTTAACCATAACAAAGAAATATGACCACATCACCCCTATTTTAGCATCATTACACTGGCTCTCAGTGCGTTTTAGAATTGACTTTTAAATTTTATTGATCACTTTTAAAGTTCTTCATGGCCTCTCGCCTTGTTATATTTCTGACCTTTTAGTCCCATAGGCAGCAGCACGTACAGTGCCTTGCGAAAGTATTCGGCCCCCTTGAACTTTTCGACCTTTTGCCACATTGCAGGCTTCAAACATAAAGATATAAAACTGTAATTTTTTGTGAAGAACCAACAAGAAGTGGGACACAATCATGAAGTGGAACGAAATTTATTGGATATTTCAAACTTTTTTTAACAAATAAAAAACTGAAAAATTGGGCATGCAAAATTATTCAGCCCCCTTAAGTTAATACTTTGTAGCGCCACCTTTTGCTGCGATTACAGCTATAAGTCGCTTGGGGTACGTCTCTATCAGTTTTGCACATCGAGAGACTGAAATTTTTGCCCATTCGTCCTTGCAAAACAGCTCGAGCTCAGTGAGGTTGGATCGAGAGCGTTTGTGAACAGCAGTTTTCAGTTCTTTCCACAGATTCTCGATTGGATTCAGGTCTGGACTTTGACTTGGCCATTCTAACACCTGGATATGTTTATTTGTGAATCATTCCAGCGTAGAGTTTGCTTTATGTTTTGGATCATTGTCTTGTTGGAAGACAAATCTCCGTCCCAGTCTCAGGTCTTTTGCAGACTCCATCAGGTTCTCTTCCAGAATGGTCCTGTATTTGGCTCCATCCATCTTCCCATCAATTTTAACCATCTTCCCTGTCCCTGCTGAAGAAAAGCAGGCCCAGACCATGATGCTGCCACCATGTTTGACAGTGGGGATGGTGTGTTCAGGGTGATGAGCTGTGTTGCTTTTACGCCAAACATAACGTTTTGCATTGTTGCCAAAAAGTTCGATTTTGGTTTCATCTGACCAGAGCACCTTCTTCGACATGTTTGGTGTGTCTCCCAGGTGGCTTGTGGCAAACTTTAAACGAGACTTTTTATGGATATCTTTAAGAAATGGCTTTCTTCTTGCCACTCTTCCATAAAGGCCAGATTTGTGTGTATACGACTGATTGTTGTCCTATGGACAGAGTCTCCCACCTCAGCTGTAGATCTCTGCAGTTCATCCAGAGTGATCATGGGCCTCTTGGTTGCATCTCTGATCAGTCTTCTCCTTGTATGAGCTGAAAGTTTAGAGGGACGGCCAGGTCTTCGTAGATTTGCAGTGGTCTGATACTCCTTCCATTTCAATATTATCGCTTGCACAGTGCTCTTTGGGATGTTTAAAGCTTGGGAAATCTTTTTGTATCCAAATCCGGCTTTAAACTTCTCCACAACAGTATCTCGGACCTGCCTGGTGTGTTCCTTGTTCTTCATGATGCTCTATGCGCTTTAAACGGACCTCTGAGACTATCACAGAGCAGGTGCATTTATACGGAGACTTGATTTCACACAGGTGGATTCTGTTTACCATCATTAGTCATTTAGGTCAACATTGGATCATTCAAAGATCCTCACTGAACTTCTGGAGAGAGTTTGCTGCACTGAAAGTAAAGGGGCTGAATAATTTTGCACGTCCAATTTTTTTGTTTTTTATTCCACTTCATAATTGTGTCCCACTTGTTGTTGATTCTTCACAAAAAATTACAGTTTTATATCTTTATGTTTGAAGCCTGAAATGTGGCAAAAGGGCAAAAGGTCAAAAAGTTCAAGGGGGCCGAATACTTTCACAAGGCACTGTACCTTGAGATCCTCGGCAGAGGTCTGTTGTCTGTTCCAGAGTCTCGACTGAAAACTAAAGGGGACAGAGCGTTTGCTCTCAGGGCCCCGAGGCTCTGGAACAGCCTGCCCGAGGAAATCAGGTCGGCTGAGTCGGTGAACTCTTTTAAGTCCCTTCTTAAAACATACTTTTATAGGAGAGCCTTTCCCGATCTTATTTGACTTTACTTTATCCCTTTTATTTTATTCTATTTTACTTATTTTATATTTATCTTAAATGTGTATTTTGGTCTTTTCAATGTTTTCTTGCATGTATTCTTGTCTTTTGGGTATTGTATTGTTGTCTTTGCACTTGTTGAAGCACTTTGTAACTTGTTTTTGAAAAGTGCTCTACAAATAAAGATTATTATTATATTATAAAGGGTCAATTAGGGGGTGGAGGGATTTCTTGATGCCCCTTTGAGAAGGTGAACATCTTGCCATTTCCTGACTTTTTAAGTCTATTCTTTGAACTGTTTTGCAGTTGGCCACCAATGAATAAAAGGATAAACAATAGTGAGAGACTGAAACGCTTTGTCTAGAACAATGACATGCTATTTCGTTACAGGTGACAGTGAGGGTGTCCATGACCTTCACACCACAGCAGGTAAGCTAATAAGTAAGTAATTGCCCAAGGCTATTTTCTTAATAAAAGATTTTTGCCTTCATCAATGCTTGTTTGACTCTTATCTGTCAAAGGTGCAGAATAATATCGATCAACCATGCACATTCCCAGAAGTCTTCCTCACTCTAGGAGCCCCTGGAGATAACCTTGTGATCCCTCTGAGCCCAGGACCTGGCAGACCCATGTCCTTCAACTTAAACCTTGTCCCAAAAGAAAATATTAAGTCCAAACACTCTTCTCCGAGCCATGCAAGTCCCAGAAAAGCCCACTCAGGGCCATCATCCTCCAACCCAGGAGCAACCAGCCGAACAAATCCTGTAACATCATGTCCACATGAAGAGGAAAGCTTTGTGACCAGCCCTATCAGTCCCGATGAAGACTGCTTCTCTCTGATTGAGAAGGTTCACATAGCCCAGATGCAGAAGGCGATGGCGCAAGGAGGACGACAATTTAAAGGGGACACTGAAAAGCTGAGGGAAAAGACTGAGCAAGGAAAGGGGGGTGGAAAGAAAGATAAGAAGGATGGTGGCAATAAGCAATAGTCAGGTACCATATGCCACATTGTAAATTATCTATTGAGGAAAACATTTGAAACCTCACATTTCTCTCTAATGTTTTCTGTTATTGGCTTAGAAAATAATTGAACAATGTTTAAGAAATTGTATTTGTAGTTTTCATATGCCCACACAATTTAGAAGCTCTTGCTGGAGTAGAACTAAGCATTATTGTTGTTTGTTTGTTTGTTTCATACTCAGTAGTGTGGGTGAGAACTCGTTGCTTTAATTTTTTCAAATTTAAGTGCAATGTAACAGTTAAAGAGAATACTGCTTATCCAAAGAGAGAAATTCTAGTTAGGTTGGAATTAAACCTAGTACTCTGTGTGAAACTGACAAAAACAACATAACAATACAAACAGAAATACCTAAATTTAATCTGATTACAAATTCATGTTTTGTTTTGATGAGCTGAAGCACATACTTAAACATTACTTTTTAATTACAGAGGTGTGACATTTGATCTTAACTGAAATTGCAGTAATAAAAGGAGCAATGATTGGCCAGTCACTGTGTTCTGATACAGTTCCATGTAACTGTTATTTAAGCTTACATGGTTATATGAGGTTGAATATGACAAACAAGAAGTACAAAGAAAATGAAACACTTGAGAAATGTATGACATTTATTGAGATTTACATGAGAAAATTATCAGGGGCTCATATTGTATGAACTCTGTTAAAATGCTTTAGCTGGATCTTGTATCTCATTCAGCAGAGTCACTTCCCTGAAACAAACAAAACTTATCAGTACTTGTAACGAATGTTTGTATATGCAAAAAGCAATACCACATTTTATGGAATGACGAAACTAGACGTAAGGATTAAATATTCTTACAGAAAGATGTTGATTTGTTATCAGCAATATCAAATTGCAACTTGTCTGTAATTTCAGAAGTCATTATGTATATAGTTATTATACATGTGTATTTCACATTGGAATGTAAATGTCATGGATATATAGATGACATAAACTGTATGCATATGGTTAATACATGACACGGTCAAAGAGAATAGGGGGGGAAAAAAAATTACCTTTCCAGCATCACGGCTCTTGGCTCTCAGCTTGTTGACCTGGGACTCAGCGATGTCAGCACGCTCCTGAGCTTCCTCTAGTTCATGCTGAACCTTCCTGAACCTAGACATGTGAGTGTTGGCCTGCTCCTCCTGTGAAGGGTTTAGAGTTATATTAATTTAGTTGTTAATGGTGATATAATTATTAATTCAACTGCAAATGATGAGTCATATAATGTAGTTGACTTACAGCCTCCTCAGCCTGTCTCTTGTAAGCCTTGACTTTGAGCTGCAGCTTGTCCACTAGATCCTGAAGTCTGGTCACATTCTTCTTGTCCTCCTCAGTCTACACAGATAAAGAATGGTCACTTGTGTCACTTGAGTGTTGACGCAGAAACAAGCAGTTGTGGAAGAAGTATTTAGATGTTTTCTTAAGTAAACGTAGTAATACCACTGTGTAAAAATACTCTGTTACAATTGAAAGTCCTGCATTCAAAATATTACTTAAGTAGAAGAAAATTAGCATTATCACAAAAATTAACTAAAGGTATCCAAAGTAAAATGTACACATTAAGTATAAGCAGTATTGTAATGTTACAAAGATGAAATTAAACTATTATTACTTAGTATATTGTTTGGTATTTTATCAATAATGATGCGTTACATTTTATAAAGGTACCATATAATTTTTATATAAAATCTTAAAGGCCCTGCACACCCATAGTCCATCCACAGGTGTGTTCACTTGTTACCCAAGTGATTCTCCCCCACCCTTCTGTTGATTTTGTTGTACCTGTTGGGGCAGGGCAACTTAACCAGTAATAATTGGGTAAGTAGTTGGGTTAAATTCCAAGTATAGTGCCACCCAATTTATACCTGACTAAAGGTCTAATGAGACAGGGTAATTGGAAACACCTGTGCAGGTGTACAGGGCCTATAATATGCAAATAACTATAGCTGTCAGAAATGTAGTCAACTAAAAGGTACAATTTCTGCTTCTGAATTGTGGTGTAGTAGTAAGTATAAAGTACAAAATGAAATACTCAGGTACTGTATTCATAACTAAGTACATTACATCATGGGTAAATGTATGTAGTTACTCTCCATTACTGAAATCAAGAGTAATTATGCTTGTTTTTAGTGAAATTAAATGTACCTGGTAGGTCAGCTCCTTCACTCTCCTTTCATATTTGCGTACTCCTTTAACAGCATCCACTCCACGTCTCTGTTCAGCCTCAACTTCAGCTTCCAGCTCACGCACCTGAAATGTGATGATCATAATCATAGTAATCAAAGTTTTGTACAAAGATTTGAGTGCAGAGAAAGAAGTAAAGTTATTTTATGCATTTAAAGTGTGATTTTTAGTGTTAAACTGATCTGTGGGCATTTATATACAGCTCATACCCTGGACTCCAGTTTCTGGAGCTGCTTCTTGCCACCCTTCATGGCGAGGTTCTCAGCCTCATCCAGGCGATGCTGCAGGTCCTTAACTGTGACCTCCAGGTTCTTCTTCATCCTCTCCAGGTGAGAGCTGGTGTCCTGCTCCTTCTTCAGCTCCTCAGCCATCATGGCAGCCTAAAATGATAAAATGCTCTCTAATTCATTCATAAACTATAATAAACTTAACATTAGTTCATGGAAGTAGACCAAAAACATAACAAGTAAGTTAGAGATGTAAACTCACATCAGTGATAGCCTTTTTGGCTTTCTCCTCAGCATTTCTTGCTTCCTGAACAGAATCATCAACTTCACTCTGAACCTGGACAAGGTCAGCCTCCAGTTTCTTCTTGGTGTTCAGAAGACTGGTGTTCTGAATGTTGAAGAAAACCCATGTTTAATATGATAATTAAAATTTATCTTTAAAATATCAGTTACTTGTCAATTAATAAAAACACACCTGAGAGTGAAGCAGTCCAACACGCTCACTAGCATCAACCAGCTCCTGCTCAGCCACTTTGCGTCCTCTCTCTGTCTGCTCCAGAGCGGCTCTCAGCTCCTCAATCTCAGCCACCATCAGGCCGTTTCTGCGCTCCACCATGGCAACCTGCTCCTTCATGTCTTCCTGTCCTCTGACAGCATCATCAAGGTGCAGTTGGGCATCCTGGCAACAAAAAATGTTAATCTTAACTCTTTCTTTACTCTCAAACTGTGTTTTTATTTAGCAATTGCACAAAACTCACCTTCAGCTGTCCCTGGACATTCCTCAGTTGTTTCTGGGCCTCAGCAGCCTGCCTGTTGGCATGGCTCAGCTGAATCTCCATCTCATTCAGGTCTCCTTCCATCTTCTTCTTGACTCTCAGGGCATCATTCCTGCTCCTGACCTCACTGTCAAGATTGCTCTGCATAGAGTCAATCACCCTCTGGCTGTTCCTCTTGATTTGCTCCATCTCCTCGTCCTTCTCTGCCAGCTTCCTGTCAACCTCACCTTTGATTTGGTTGAGCTCAAGCTGAACACGGAGAATCTTGGACTCCTCATGCTCTAGTGTACCCTAGAAGAAAAGTCAGCTAAGTACATCTATGAACCAAAATTGCTGTTCTGTCATTATAATAAAACATCATTTCAAATTAGTTAAAGAACTAATAGCATAGAGCACCTTCAAATGTTGATTTAATAGTTGCAATAACAAACATAAAATATAAAAGATGATACCTCTGCTTCCTCCAGAGCAGTCTGAATTTCAGCTTTCTCACTTTCTACAGCCTTCTTTGCTTTTTCCAGCTCATGGATGCTTTTTCCAGTCTCCCCAATTTGTTCAGTCAGGTCTGAGATCTCCTCTACAGAGTAAAAACAAGAAAGACAGCATACTCTCAACATTCTTCTCAATTGATATCAAAGGATAATTTGCCTTTAATGAAGATAGCAGTAGACATACGCTGCAGGTTCTTGTTCTCTCTCTTCATGGTCTCCAGCTGATCCAGAGCCTCCTCATAAGAGTTCTTCATCTTGAACAGTTCAGTGCTGAGAGAACGAGCCTCCTTCTGAGCTCCTTCCAGCTCTGCCTGGCTCTCCTCATACTTCTGTTTCCATTCTGCCAGGACCTAGAATTATATACATGAGTTAAAAATATTACTAAAATATAATTTTGTTGAGCCTCATTTTGTTTTCTACTGTAATCACTTACCTTATCAAAGTTCCTCTGCTTCTTGTCAAGGTTGGCAGCCAGACCATTAGCTCTCTCCACATCAATCATGAGGTCCTCCACCTCACCCTGCAGTCTCTGCTTGGTCTTCTCCAAAGAGGCACACTTTGAGTTCACAGCCTCAATGGATTCCTCAGCATCCTGCAGGCGCTGGGCAAGCTTTTTCCTGAAGCGAAGAAGAATGTTCTAATTGGTAAAACAAACTATTGAAATGAAAACTAATAAAAACACTGAAAGGTTAGTGACTTACTTGGACTCCTCCAGCTCCTCAGTGCGCTGGATGGCGTCAGTCTCATATTTGGATCTCCACTGAGCCACCTCACTGTTGGCCTTGGACATTCCTCGCTGCAGCTCAGCCTTGGCCTCCTGCTCCTCCTCAAACTGCTCTCTGAGCAGATCACAGTCATGGCGAGCTGACTGAACAGCATGGGCCAGGGCATTCTTGGCCTACAGAAACATCCATATCTTAATTAATGTGCATCTTTTCATTAATAAACCACCTAATTTCCCAAATCATTTCATTTTGCTATCTTAAGTTAGAAACACAAATTTAAATTTATATCATGTTTTTGTAGTCAGACCACTGCAAAACAGTATTGCCTGAGATGTCACTAGAGATATCATACATGATATATAGACACAGCCCAAGCACACACTGCATTATAAAATAAACAATGCAAATATAAGATCTCATACCTTCACTTCCTCCTCAATGTGTCTCTTAAGCTCTTCAATCTGCTGAGTGTAAGCCTGTTTGCCTCTGGTGAGCTGGGAAATAAGAGCTTCCTTCTCCTCAAGCTGGCGAGCAAACTCACCTGAACGAACAAGACTAAGAATAAGACTTGGGTGTGCTTTACATTAAGAAGGAACAATTTGAAATGACAGCAAAACACACAAATGAGTATGTGTGTGTGTGTGTGTATATATATATATATATATATATGGAATTGTCAGTTTTTTAAATTAGGACTATATACCATGCATAAAAACTGGTAAATCAAAAAATAACTTGCAACATGTGACCTCAATAACTATATATTTTATTACCTATTACTCATCGTCTAAAAATCCATCATGGGAATTATAACTATAGCTATTCAATTCACAGCGTATCCATAATATAGTAATATAATACACATTTCACATCTGTGTATACAGACCGTTCTCTGTTTGCAGTCTTGCTCTCTGTGCACTTATGTCATTTAGCTGGCGAACATTCTCATCATTTTTGGACTTGATTTCGCTTAATTGGTCTTCAAGAGTTCGGCACATCTTCTCCAGGTTGGCCTGTAATTTGCATGTAATTGACATGACTTGAATATAGTGAACGTGAAACTTACTGTTTAGATATTCTATATTTATTCTCCACTTTTATTATTTGGATAGTAACTGAAATCTTATGTTGGTAGGCCTATCACCTGAAACAAGTCCATACCTTAGCTTTAGCAACAGCCTCCATGTTACTGGAGAGGTCATCAATCTCCATCTTGTACTCGCTCTTCTCCTTCTCCAGCTTCTGCTTGACACGCTGGAGGTTGTCGATCTGCTCTCCCAGCTCTGCAACACTGTCTGCCTGCTTCTTGCGGAGAGCTGATGCGGTAGCTTCATGCTGCAGGGTTGTCTCTTCAAGATCACGACGCAGCTTCTGGAACTCAGCTTCACGCTTCTTGTTCATCTCAATCTGAGCAGCTGTTGCTCCACCAGCTTCCTCAAGCCTCTCACTGATCTCCTCAAGCTCCCTGGAGAGGTCAGCCCTCTGCTTCTCTACCTTCGCCCGAGCAGCCCTCTCAGCCTCAATCTCTTCCTCCAGCTCCTCAATACGAGCCTAGATTTTATGATAGTAATATCAAGAAGGCATATTAACTTGAGCATGTTGTTTTTGATTCACTGATTTTAATATTCATATGAAATATACTACCTGTAGTTCCTTGATCTTCTTCTGAAGCTGAGAACCAAGAGATTGTTCATCCTCAATCTTGCTGAGGAGCTGGCTGGTCTCAAAGTCCTTCCTTAATGTGTCAATAAAAAAGGAATGTTAAAGCTCTGATGGTTCAGACTTCTGCATGTGAAAGCAGAAATTTCATCCATAACTTATTTTTTCACTCACTTCTTGAGTTTTTCCTCAGATTGCTGCTTGTCATTCTCCAGATCCATTATGGATTCCTGGGCCAGTTTCAGATCTCCCTCAAGCTTTCTCTTGGCTCGCTCAAGGTCCATGCGGAGCTTCTTCTCTTGCTCCAGTGATCCCTCAAGCTTTTTAAAAAAAGAAGAAAGTTTTATACAATGGAGCTTTATATTTTATTAACTTCAAAAACAACTGTTTTCTTACATCGTCCACTTGCTGTTCCAGCTTTGTCTTGGCCTTGGTCAGAGAGTTGACTTTGTCTTCCTCTGCCTGGAGATCATCAAGTGTTTGCTGGTGGGCCTCTTGGAGGGCCTTCTTCTCCTTTGTTAACTTGGCAATAGACTCATCTTGAGATGCCATCTCCTCTGTCAGGTTTTTCACCTGAAAAAATATAAAGGTTACATTTTTAATATAACTTTACATTTGAAACATTTTATCATTTTGTATCATTGTAATGTGAACCTTGTTTTCTGTGGCATGTTTCTCCTTCTCCACTTTAGCCAAGGTGAGCTCCAAGTCATCAATGTCTTTCTTCAGCTCAGAGCATTCATCCTCCAGCTTCCTCTTCTTACCAGTCAGCTCAGCATTGATTTCCTCTTCATCCTCCAGTCTCTCAGTTGTCTCTTTGAGTTTAGCTTCAAGCTGGATCTTGCTCTTAATGAGCCCCTCACACCTTTCCTCAGCATCAGAGAGGTTCTCACTTTCCTATAGTTTGAACATACACACGGTATTTTTGACAGAAACGGGTTTCAAAATTATATTAAGTGGATTGCCTTTTTAAATAAAAAAATCTCACTGAATATTTTCAGCAAATAGAACATGCTCTTGCATTCTACTCACAGATGCTACTTGGAGTTGCAGGTCATTCTTTTCCTGCAGCAGGGAAACCATCTTCTCCTCCAGCTCCTTCTTCTTTGCCAAGGCAGCAGCCAGGTCTGATTTCATCTTATCATAGTTCTCCTTCATCTGTTGCAGCTCCTTCTCAGTCTCAGCACTCTTCAGAAGAGGCTTGATCTTGAAGTAAAGATGCATCCACGGCCAGTTCTTCACATTCATGAATGATCGGATATTGTACTGGACGGTGAAGATCGCATCTCTGATAAAATAAGTGTATAAATATTGCTTTTGTTTAACTCCATACTGGAATTTAAGATGCAACAAAAGTATACTGTATGAGAATCATACCTCCTTTCCATCATCTTAAGAAACTCCTTCCTCATGAGAAATCCTCTGCAGAGAGCCTGAGTCATGGTCACCAGCGAAGCCAGTTTATCATCTCTCATCTCCTCCAGGGTACCCAGCAGACCAGCTTTGAAGAACACCTGTGTTGTCAAGTAAAGGAAATTATTCATCAGTACACATAGATACAAGAGGATGACTTAATCTGTTAATATTGTCTATGATGAACCTTTGTGTGTCCAAACTTGTACTGGGAGTGGTCCACATCAATGGAGCCCAGCAGCTTCTCTGAAGCTTTCTTGTTGTCAATGAACTGTCCCTCAGGGATCACACTGGCATTCAATACTTTGTATCTGAAAAAGATTATTACATTGTACTTGTATTGACCTCCCATATTTCAAGTGTTTTACACCAAAATAGCTCAACTGAAGTCAACCTGCTAATTTCATACATAACAAGTCACCTCTGCTTGAAGTCACCATAGATAATTCTGCTGGGGAAGCCCTTTCTGCAGATTCTGATGCCTTCCAGCACACCGTTACACCTCAGCTGGTGGATGACCAAGTGGTTCTCCATAAGACCTGCACAAAATCAGTCAGTGTAATAGGCATTTATGGGATTCATTTTGGCTAGTCTGGAAAACAACAAAAATACCAAACCTGGAGTCTTTGTTTCATTGGGAATCAGACAGCGCACAAAATGAGGATGAGTGCTCCTCAAGTTGGTCATCAGCTTGCCCAAGTTCTCCTGGGATGCGAAATATAATCATTTAAAACAAAAATCTTCAAAACATGAGCTAATCAAGATAAATTTAATTTTCACATTTGTCAATGTTAAACACACCCGGAAAAGGGCAGACACAGTCTGGAAGGAACCACCCTTCTTCTTTCCACCACCCTTCTTGCCACCGCCACCAGCGCTGTCTGTTTTTAAAACATCGGGCAGTAAATAATTAACAATTATTTTCATTGTTCAGGATTATTTCCTGTTTTTAAGCAAATAACTGAACTGCCACTCAGGGGTTACAGCTTTAGCTTCTTACCCTCAGCTCCAGCATGGGATGCATACAGTAATGCCAACAGTTTGTTAGAAGACTTCTGGTAGAGCTGAACAACTGAGTCATTCAGGGGGTCCTTGTTCTTCTCCAGCCAGCCAGTGATGTTGTAGTCCACTGTACCAGCATAGTGAACCAGGGCAAAGTGAGCCTCAGCCTTGCCCTTTCCTGGCTTTGGCTTCTCAAAGGCCTTGGTCTTGCCAAGATGCTGATCATGCAGCTTGTTCTTGAAAGTTGTGTCAGAGGCCTTGGGGAACATGCACTCCTCTTCGAGGATGGAGAAGATGCCCATTGGCTGAAAGGAAATATTGTCATATTTAGAATCAATAATTTAACAGATTGTCAGAAAACAGGAATTCTGTTCTACCTGACAGATTTGTCTTACCTTCTCGATAAGCTCAATGCAGGCAGCCAAGTCCATACCAAAGTCAATGAACTCCCAATCAATGCCTTCTTTCTTGTACTCCTCTTGCTCCAGAACAAACATGTGGTGGTTGAAGAACTGTTGCAGTTTCTCATTGGTGAAGTTGATACAGAGTTGCTCCAAGCTGTTGAACTGTAATTTGGAAATCAGTCCCACTGTCATCATTGACAAGATGTGATGCAACTGACTCAGATATTTTATAACTACTCACATCAAAGATCTCAAATCCAGCGATATCCAACACCCCAATGAAGAACTGTCTTGGCTGCTTTGTGTCCAGCATCTCATTAATACGGACGACCATCCACAAGAACATTTTCTCGTATACCGACTTACACAGAGCACTGACAGCATTGTTGACCTAGAAATAAGGATTTTAGGATAATTTCTAAGCATATCATTTTGATATTAAATGCAAATATGTAAAAAAATATTATTACCTGTGGCACAGTTTGACCTTTGGTCACCATCTCATTTCCAACCTTGACTCTTGGGTAGCACAGAGCTTTCAGCATATCAGCTGAGTTTAGGCCCAGGAGGTAAGCGATTTTATCAGCCACTGATGAAATACAAACAGTATTCATTAATTCATCAGAAATGCACAGGAACACAATTATATTAAAACTATGCAGAAAGAATGTTAAATGTTACTGTATTAAAATCACCATTGAAAACAAGTAAAATGCTAAAAATGTAAGTCACATTGTATGTTTAATGTTTGTTTGCAGTTCATTTTTTCACTCCTTCTGTACAGTTTACTTGTCATATACTGTATGGCATCAATTTGTGTCTCTTTTTCTCTTCATTCATGTCTGTTTGTCATATGCTATTTTAATATTTTAGTTTGAAATTTAGACAGTTCCCTTGCCATTGTAAATAATTGATCAGTTTTAGTGATTAATAAATTGTGAGGTGAGGTATATATTTATAGTATACCTGCATAATGTGTGTTGATGTAATATGTTGATGTAAATTCACACTATTAATACAATTACCCTCAGTGCCATCAGGTTCAGCCTGCTCCTCACGCTGCTTCTGCTTGAATTTCATGTTGCCATGATGCATCACAGCTCCAGTCAGCTTGTAAATGGCAATCTTTTCATCAACACTGAAGCCCAGAATGTCAATTGCAGTCTGTAATTCATGAACAGCAAATCCTTTTAGAAAATGAGTTATTCTGATATTCATCTGCTGTTATTTTACAAAATACTATTAACCTACATCTGTGGCAATGAACTCCTCCACATCATTAATGCTTTTGACAGTGATTTCACCCTGACTGATCATATGGTAGTCATAGGGGTTGGTGGTGATTAGAAGGGCCTCTGCAAGTAAGTAGAGGAAATACATAAGTGTGCACATACTATTTATTTTTTCTTATTATTTGTTTATTGTATCTTAACATACCCAGGAGCTCAGGCTTGTGGCCAGTCATCAGCTGATAGAAGATATGGTAACTCCTCTCAGCAGACAACTGGAAGGTGACACGGGACTTCTCCAGCAGATCTGTGAGTATTTGTTAGATATAAACAACTGATTATGAATGCACATTAAACAATCCAAGACACTACATTTGTACACTGCTAATGTTGCCAATGTTGCCAACTGCAGGAAAAGAAAATAACTAGAACTTACATGTTTCAATATCAGCTGAGGCCAGCTTGCCACTAGAGCCAAAGTGGATTCTGATGAATTTACCCTAATCATTTACCAGAAAATGTCAGTTTGACACTTAAATATCATAATAAACTTAAATAAGCATAAAGTTATGTAAAGATCCATAATATGAATACTTACAAAACGAGAGGAGTTGTCATTCCTCACAGTCTTGGCATTACCATAGGCCTCAAGCAGAGGGTTGGCTGCAATGATTTGATCTTCCAACGAACCCTACATAAAGACATTATGAGGTGGCATAAAATTATTCAACAACAATTAACTGTGGCAAAGACTTTTAACAGACAACCAATTTTACCTGAATTTTGCCAGCCTCTGCTTTCTTAGCTCCAGCCACTGCAATTGTTGCAAAGTACTGGATCACACGTTTGGTGTTGACAGTCTTTCCTGCACCAGATTCTCCACTAGGGGAATAATACCACAATATTTTTAGCAAGATAATCATGAACCCCCTAAGAACTGTCTTGACAACTTTTGTTATACTCACGTGATAAGGATAGACTGATTCTCACGATCTGAAATACAAGCATACACACTCAAGTTAAACCTATAGTTGAGATTCTTCTTTGTCTCATCCCTTCAAATTATGTGTAACTTTGATTTTTACCAGTGAGCATGAACTGATAGGCGTTATCAGAGATGGAGAAGATGTGGGGTGGAGCCTCAACTCTCTTCTTGCCTCTATATGCCGCAACAACCTGAGCATCGTACACAGGAAGCCACTTGTAGGGGTTCACAACCACACAGAACAGGCCAGAGTAAGTCTGTAGCATGAAAGAGAGGGGCATTATCACCTTTGATGCACAGGCTTTACAGAAACAAGCACTATTATACATTGAACACAGTTATACAAATTATAAGACTGAAACTTACGTAGATCATCCATGATGCAAAACGCTCTTTGAGGTTATACAGCACAGCAGGCTCATTGAGATGGGTCATCATAGCCATGTCTTCAATTTTATCATACTTGGGAGGGTTCATGGGATGGATGTCATCCTCTTTAACAGTGAGAGTCTTAATAGGAAATACAATAAAGAAACATTTTAAAAAAGAGAGAAATTAAATTTAATATTAACTCATATAGTGTCATGTAGCAGTTTAATGAAATTAATGTCATTCTCTTTTGCTGACATTCTGTGAAGTGAAAAAGCAAATATCTAAATGTTTTAAAGAACTTGATTGTCTGTCCTTCCTAGGCTTATTTGAGTTTCACTGTAGATATGATTTCACTTGCCTTTCCTGCAAATGTCTCAACTGTGGCTTTGCCACCCTCTCTTTTGATGAGTTTACCCTTGGAATACATGTCATCAGGATCAGCCACAAAGAAAGCTGTTTTAGCATCAAATGGAGCAGTCTGAGCCTCAATCCTCTCCTTCTCTGGTTTTCGGAGGAATATGGCCGCAGGGCCATAGGCCTCCATCTCGGCGTCTGTGCTCATGATGGCACTTTAAGGGACTGAAACAAAGAGCCATACATAACTAATTTTCTCAAGTATTTTATTAGATGTTAACATGCTCTTAGTTGGCATATCACTTCAAATAAATTATTTACCTTTTTGGTCCTAGCAGAAGATGGAAAACAGTCAGGTCTGTTTAGAGAAATATATTAATCTCTAAAGTAAGTACGTTATTTTTTTAAAACTACTAACTGCCATCACATTTGTGTATAGCACACCATGTCGAAATATGCATATATAGAAAATTATTAAGTACTGTTGCAAATTTTTTATCAAAAAATTACTTACTCACACAATATAAATCAATTTAAGTTGATGTACTTACCTAAGCTGGAAGCCTACCAGTTATCTACTGAGTCCTAAACAGCCTTTTATAGAGGGAAGACTGTCTTCTCAGTAGGTGTGCCCTGCTCAGTTTGGTCATGCATTCTTGTCATGTCGCTAATCCTGTGACATTGACATTTACATTGATGGATATTGCCTTGTACTCCTGTACATTTGTTGCAGTAGGTATTTTTTCCCTGTGCACCAAGTGAATGGTAACAAAGCATAGTATTAGTAAAAGTATTTAAAAAAATCTGTTTACATAAATGGTGACTTTTAGATTTTATGTTATATATATTTGTTAACATATAATAGGTTTTCTAACTTATGACTTTCAAGCTATTGCACTACACTGCTATTAACACATACAATACTGTTTATACCTGAATTTATAAAAGCACAGGGTTGATTTTGTTGGTTTTGTTAAATTTAAACTTTTATTAAAATATTATTGCTTGGTACTGAAATCGAACCTAAGTTTTAAACTTATGATACATACATTAATTCAAATATATACAAATATTGCAGAAGATGAGGGTTTTTTTTCTATAAGATGGGAACTCAATCTTAATCAATCAATACTCACTTGTAATTACATTAATGATTAGAGTCTGTTAATCAATGTAAAATATGGATGTGTGGATCTATTATTATGATTTTTTTTCCAGTTTTGGAGAAGCACCCAAATGTCACTGTCACCGGTGTACAGCTGTAGGACATTCACAAATGTCAGATTTTGTAGTCCAATACAACAGGGTAAACGATTCCATAAAATAGTGTCAGAGCCATTCCATTCAGGGTAAGATATAAAAAGACTTCAATATCTTAAGATCTATCACTCAGGGTTTTTTTACGTTCTAAAATGTATTATTAATTTATTACTAGTAATGTATTATTTTATCATTTCACAGTCAGGTACATGTCATCAAATATCACTAAGTAATTAGTTTGACATTTGTGAGTATTGAGATTTTAAGTGTTTGTACATGATGTGCTTTTCATTAACAGACAGATCTGTCATCTGCTTGTAATAATAAAATGTAATTTCCTTAATGATCGTCAGTGTAAGTAATAATAATCATACTGCAGTTATGGCAGGCACATGCTGTGGTTTTGGAGAAGCATGTAAATGTCACTGGTATACAGTTGCAGCACAACCACACACACACAAATAAAATGGAGGCTGAGCGCCATTCCATAAAAGCTGAGATGGGATTGCACATCGCCTTGGAACGGAGTGGACGAACAGTTGCCATCTAGGCTGGCATCAGACCCAAAATAAGTCCAGAGCCAATAAACAAGATGTCACAGATGCCAAAACTGTAATAGTACCATGAATAAAAACTGTATCCAAGAGTACCTGTTTAAGTTTAAATTTTCAATGTTTAATAAACAAAGGAAAATAAATTCTACTTTATCACAATGACTTGCATTATTTTTAAAATCTGGATTATTGAGTGAAGTTGTGTTATTGCCTGTTATATTTACCTAACCTGGTTTCTTCAAAACAGGAGATGACCTTGAGGAATGTCACCCGGACTTCAATAGGTAGGCGGGCTATTGTGCAAACATTTGTTGCACACAAGCTATTCAAGTAAGGTCAAAGGTCAAACAACTTGTTTGAGGGAAGCTTTGGTGTGCTTAAAGACATTAAATCATCTTTTTGCACAACAGGAGGATTTTGCGATACTTCCAGGTTGCCTCTACTTACAGTATCTACATTATTTGAGTACATTCAGAGTACATATTACCATTTGATTCTTTTTTCTTGCTGTTGTGAGTAAAAGATTAAACCTGTTTTGCATTATGTGGTATTCATGTGTAAAATTAAGGATTAGGATTACCGTGAAAATTCATTATGAATAAATTTTTCAAGCAGTGATGCAAGTGAATAGATGAAGGTGGAGAGAAGACGGACACAAGTACAGATAATACCAACTAAACTCCTTTGTATGTCCTTGAGTCTAGTAGACTCTTGAGCCTCTGCACGAAGTCCTTGCTCTAAATATAACATGCCAAATACGTCTGGCAAGGAGGAGCCTGCGAGGGTTTAAAAGAGCGTAAGACCTTCCATGACTGGGTAGTAACACTGCGAGAACCAAAGGAGAACGAAAGGTTAAGCTCTCACTACTTTCTTTGTTTCATTTAGTCTTCTAACATGAAATGCAATAATTTGTGAGGAGATAACGAATTACAAGAAGGAAAAAGAAAGTTGGAGGAGGTGAGCAGTAAAGCTTACTGTATATTGCTTCAGTAAAATATATTGCACAAGATCATTGATAACCCAATGCTAATTAGCATGTTGTCATCAAAACTTACATTAAATACAAATAATCTTGATTGTTGTGTTTTTTGCCTCGTAACTCTTTGATCGGAAGAATGTCTGGCATAAATGGAAGCAGCTCTAACCAAAACACTTTAACAACTGTGTTAACATTAAGACATGAAACAATGGTAAACAGTCATTATAGCATGCCAAATCAGTCATTCATTAAAGACATACATACAGCTGTGTTAAATGGTCATATGATGCCATCTTTTTAATTCTAAACAAAAGAACTGTATTTGCATCAAATGACTTGGTGGCCACTCCCCTGCAGTTGTCAGTAAGCACAAGAAAGGCCATGTCAACTCCTAAAAATATCTTGGTACACATAGGGACAACCAGTTAGTGTGTAGTATCCACATAAATAGAATCTGCCCAAAGGTCCAACAACACCTGTGCTTCCTGAATGATTCCTTGTGGTAAAATCATGCAACCCACTGCATACTATATATAGTTACATCCATGTGCTTCAAATTAGGATGTATATTATAGAGGTCAAATAAACGAATGGGAAAACAACCATACCTCACTACTTTAGGCTTTATTATAAAAGGAAATTATTAAATCAAATGTGTCTAAGTTGCTCACATGTTGTTTCAAACTTGAATGAACAATGCTGTGGATTTCCTTTTACTTTGATGTTTCAAAGAAATCTTTTTTTATTTTAAGAACCCTTATGATGCCCTCTGAACACTCCTTGCAGATGTTTCTCCCTCATACTAAACCTTGTCCTAGTTATTCCAGTTAAACTGTGCTGCCTTGGTACATCGTTTTAGGCCATTAAAGAGAACTCTGTTAAATGTTGTCCACCAAATTTTGTCTGTGGTTTAATTTCAAATACGCCAGTGTATGAATGTGCCCTGTTGGCAACAAGTAGAACTAGTCATTAATGTAGAGTGCCATTTGGACTCCTATCAATTTGTACTCTCTGAACACTCAGCGAACACTCAAGCAAACATGTAGCCACAGGAGAGCAGTTAGATTCCTGCAATGGTTTTGAGCTTATAATAAGCCAATTGTCATTCCATAACAGTGAACCACAAGTGTCATTGCCTGACTGTTAAGTCCTACCATTATACTGTGGTGAAGTTGGTTTTAAGTTGGATATTCGACAGACATTCACCTAGGATCCAGTGACAGCTTCTTACTCAGTTCACCCAGTGTTTGCAATATAAGTAACCAGGTTTAGATTAGGGACACCAAAACAATGCCAAATTGTAGTAGTACACTGGGCAAATGAGACACACCTCTTCATATTAGATTTGAGTGCACATTTTATTTTATGTTAATATTTATTAATATTTTATGGGAGAAAATGCTTTTTTCCCCAATAGCTTCATTGTCATGTGATTCAGGGACTCCAAACCAATGCCAAATTGTAGTACTACACAAAGGCAAATGAGACACACCTCTTCATATTAGAAATGAAGGCATATTTGCATATTTTATTTTATTTTAATGTTTATTAATATTTCATGGCGAATAGCTTCCATGTCATGGAACCCAGAGACTCCAAATAAATGCTGAATTTTAGTACTACACTAGGCAAATGAGACACACTTTTTCATATTAGATATGAGTATATGTTTATTTTATATTAATATATATTAGTAATTTATGGAAAAAATGAGACAATATTCATTGTAGTATGCCAAATCACTCATTCATTCATTAAAGACATACATACAGCTGTGTTAAATGGTCATATGATGCCATCTTTGTCATTCTAAACAAAGGAAACTATATTTACATCAAATGTCTTGGTGGCCACTCCCCTGCAGTTGTCAGTAAGTACAAGAAAGGCCATGTCAACTCCTAAAAATATCTTGGTACACATCGGGACCACCAGTTAGTGTGCATTATTCACATAAATAGAATCTGCCCCAAGGTCCAAGAACACCTGTGCTTCCTGAATGAATCATTCCTTGTGGTAAAATCATGTAACTCACTGCATACAATATATAGTTACATCCATATGCTTCAAATTAGGATGTATATTATAGAGGTCAAATAAACGAATAGGAAAGCAACCATACCTCACTATTTTAGGCTGTATTATAAAAGAAATAATTGTTAGCTTGAATATGATTAAGTTGCACACATACGGTTTCAAACTTCATTTTGTATAACTCTAATCATTTTTATTATCTTAGAAGCAATAACATTTTTTTTTTCATGTTCCAAAAACTACACTAGAAATAAGGGGAAAAAAAGCATTTAGGGTTAAGGCTCCTAGAGACTGGAACAATCTACCAATTTTCTTGACATGTTTGAAGTATCTAGGTTCATTTAAGAATGCTCTTATCATTCACCTTACAACGGACTGCTCCTGTTAATTATTGTTACTTACTGTTATACTCTACTAGTGTTGGTGTCTAGAGTTTGTGGCATGTGCAAGGTACATGAGTGAATGTGTTTTTTTTTAATTTTTTAAATTTTTGTATTCTTGAAATGTTTACTATTGTGTGTTTGATGTTTGCTGTATATATTGTGTATTTTTATATTATTGTGTGTTTTTGGTCAGGGCCCCCTCGAAAGTGAGATGGTACATCTCAAGTGGTTTTTATCCTGGAAATAAATAAATTTCTCAATTGTCTGAATGACACTTTTTACTTTAATGTTTCACAGAAATCTTTTTTTATTTTAAGAACCCTTATGATGCCCTCTGAACACTCCTTGCAGATTTTTCTCCCTCATACTAAACCTTGTCCTAGTTATTCCAGTTAAACTGTGCTGCCTTGGTGCATCGTGATAGGCTATTAAAGAGAAGCTTATAGCAGGTAGTGAAAATCTTATTTATTTAACTATGTATGTATTTATTTAAGTTTGTCCACCAGATGTTGTCTGTGGTTTCATTTCAAATAAGCCAGTGTATAAATGTGCCCTGTTGGCAACAAGTAGGACTAGTCATTAATGTATATTATTATTATTATTATTATAATTATCATTATTATTATTGTTGTTGTTGTTAACAATATTTTTAACATTTGTACCACATTGCGTTGTCTCTCTGACTGCTCCAGACCATCTCTCAGCTCCTCAATATCATCCAGCATCTGCTCATTTCTGCACTTCACCAGGGCAGCCATCTCCTTAATGTCTTGCTGACCTCTGACAGCATCATCAAGGTGATTTTTATTTGTTTTTTAACTAAATTATCATTAAACTCAACTTGAGCTGTCTTTGGATGTTCCTCAGTTATTTTTGAGTCTCAGCAGTCTCATTAAATTCTCCTTCTTTCTTCTTTTTGACTCTCAGGGCATAATTTCTGCTCCTCACCTCATTACCAAATATTGCTTTAAACTAACTCCTTTTGCAAGCTGCCTGGAGAAATGTTAGTCAGATTACATTTAAATTTTCAAAAGGCAATAATAAAATTATGTTATTATTAGCCTGTGACCTGCATTATATCATTTGGCTATTAGTTTAAATATGTACAAGTCTAATATTGTCATTGTGTCAACCAACAGAATGAAATGTGCCCTTCCAGTGTCCCAGCTCTTGGTTCTCAGCTTGTTGACCTGGGACTCAGCTGTACTAGTTCGTTCCTGAGATTCCTCCAGCTCATGCGGGACCTTTCTGAGCCTGAACATGTGAGTGTTGCCAGCTATCCCTGGGAATGGTTTAGGGTTATACGGACTTAAGTAAGAAGACAGTGTTTATTGCGATATTATGACTACAACTGTAACTAATCTGTCATATTAATGTAGCTAACTTACAACCTCCTCATTGTGTCTCATGTGAGCCTTGACTTTGAGCTGCTGCTTGTCCACCAGATCCTGAAATCTGGTCACATGTTTCTTGTCCTAGTCAGTGTAATTAGTCAAATTAGTTTAGTCTGCATTAGGAGAAAGTTTTATCTTATTAGTCTTGTTTTATTTTGAAAGTATGCTCAAGTATATTGTGATACTTTCAAGCTGCAACCTCCGGGTTTGCCGAAGTGCCTTAAATGTGTACATTTAACCAGCACAGTTAAAAAAGCTTTAACAGCACTGCATTTAACTAGCCGTTAAGCGTTTCCTCTTGTGGTGAAGACCAAGACATGCTCTATGTCTTTTCTATTTTTCTTGTAGTAGTAGCACTTCTGTGTCATGGTATTGACATGGTATTAGTATTAAAACATATTTAAGGTTTCCTGATCTATATGCATCTCCATGAGAAGCATGGACTCCAGGATCATGATACAGCTTCTGGAACTCAGCCTCAATCTAAGCAGCTTTTACTCCACCGGTTTCCTTATGCCTCTCACTGATCTCCTCAAGCTCCCTGGAGAGGTCAGCCCTCTGCTTCTCTACATTAGCACTGTTAGCCTCAATCTCTTCTCCATCTCCTCAATACAAGTCTACATTTGATGAGAGTATTATCAAGAAAGCTTATTAACTTGAACATACTCAAACATGTTTTTGATTCACTTATAAATGATTTTATTCATGTCAAATATGTTACCTGGAGTTCCTTGATCTTCTGAAGCCGAGCACTGTTCATACTCAGTCTTCCTAAAGACCTGACTCATCTCACTCCTTACTGGAAGAGGAAAACAAAACAAGTTATGCTGTTTTACTTTTCTGGAATTATTATGGTGCTCTTACAGAAATAGTAAAATGTAAGCATTAAAAATAAATCCATAAAATTACTCATTGATTTTCTCCTCAGATTGCTTCATTCTCCAGATCCATTATGGATTCCTGGGCCAGTTTCAGATCTCCCTCAAGCAGCTTCCTCTTGGATCTGTCAAGGGCTACGCAAAGCTTCTTCTCATGCTGCCCTCAAGGTTTTAAGATAATGTGGAATTGTCCACGACCTCTATGTAACATTGATGATGCATGTCCATCAAGACAGCCGGACAATGTCCAGAGCCATCAGCTTCTCAGGGTGGTACCTTGCAGCTGAGGAGCTTTTTAACTTCCTCAGAGACCTCTGCCAAGAATGTGTGTGGCTTCCCTCCAGTCTTTAAACTCTGCATCCTTCAAAGATTACGTGTTGTTTGAATTCCTCAAATACTCTTTCCATCGCTCAACAATATCCCCAATCAGGGTGAGCTGTTACTCTCCCCTGACTTGCCTTAGCCAAGCCCTGCTTTTCCTTCCATAGTCATATGACTCTTTGCCATAGCTTCCTTGAGGCCTACCGAAAGTCTTTTCCACAGCCTCCCAGAACTCCTCCGACATACAGGTTTTTGCTCGGTGACCACCAAAGTATAGTTCTTGTATATGTGCATGCTGCTTCAGGAGACCCCTGGGCCTCCTGGAAGCCTGGTGTCCACCAGCGGGTTCTCAGGTTGCCACCACAGCAGGTATCAAAGCTTTGAACATGGCCCACTCGGATTGTATGTTTTACTAGTGGCCAAACAAGCGGCTCTAAAATGGTGGATTCTTTTTTTTTTAAAGCTTCACAATGCCCTCGAAATTTGTCGTTTCACTATCAGAATTTGATCTGTTCGGTCGTTGATATTTTAAATGATCATTTTCTTTTGTTTGTCACCTTTTTCACCCCTGATGAGTTTGCTGCCCTGTCTCCACCATTTACTGTTGGCGATCCCTGGAGGGGATTTTACGGATAAGTATTATTTCCAAATAGTTAAAATGTAAAAAGTCATGAAATCATATAGTGGATTCAAAAAGCAGTCTAAAATTCAAGAGATTATTTTATAATAGTCTATAGACAGTCTATAGATTTTTAATAGATCAGAGTAGATTTCAGTTGACACACTTTTTTATAGGCAGTTGTGAGTGAGATGTTGGAGAGGTTTTAGAATGCCACTGGTATATAGTTGCGTGGTACACATGTCTCAGATATCTGATACAAAATTCCCACTGCTGTTCTTTCCATTGCAGGGGTGCAAAAGTAAATGTCCCCTGATAATGTGATATAAGAAGAGTTGCCAAAAATATGTAATTAGCTGACGTTGCAGTGACTGATGTTCAAAGCAATTATGAAGATAAAGTTTTGAATCATTGCCAGTATCCACTTTGATTACATAGTTATGGGCAGAAGTGGCTTATTATTTAACACCTTACCGGGAGATCACAAGGTATTACTGTGGTCAAAAATAAAAACAGCTACGGTAGGGGAATAATGATTCCTGTTTGGCAGAGAGAGCAGGATATATTTATCAGACACATCCAGATGGGTTGGCAACATCAGTACAATATTTTTATTATATGTTTTCCTAATGAAACTGAAAGTTACTATAGTGTAGAATATTTCTCACAACATGTACTGTAACAGTGAATAAAGTTAATTGGTATAGTTTCTCTAATAATAATAATTTGATTTATTCTTTATACAACTGTCTGGGCTCAGGTACAAAATCTTATATTCTAACCTGTTTTGCAGCATAACATAAACACTTAGCAAAACATAAAGACTCAGTAGAGAAATGTCATGGTATAGGTTAATGCACCATGGCTAGTTTTAACTGACTTAAAAGCAAGTGGCTCACTTTCAAAATGTTTTAGAATATATGTTGAACCTATTAAATTCAAAATAAGCCTGAATACTTGGCCTGCATTTCTTATTGTGTTGTAACAGCCAAGCAGTATAAACATTAGTTTAATAAAGGAAATGCAGAGTAAATGCTATTGACCAATATGCATGATGTTTATTGAAATGTTACACTGTAAAAATAATTCAACAGTTGGTTCATATTTTATGAACTCTGTCAAATGGCTTCAGTTGTGGATGATGTGGTCTCTCATTCAGCAGACTCACTCTAGAAGAAAACAAAACAAAAAAATTGTAATTATTACAATCAATTATTATTATTAAGGTTTTAACAGTATTAGAATATTATAGTATTAGATTTTTATCAGAGATTTTGTACTTAACGTTTAAAGACTGTATCATCCTATATGTGGTTGTTTAAATGTGCTTCCACAAGTGGAAGAGTGAAATTATGGAATTTTGTATCAATGAAAGATTACTGCCATAAAAATGGAATACTCAAATGAAATTATGCAGGTCTTTTTTTGGGGGGAAAATATGACTTCAGAAATGAGTACCTTTCCAGCATCACGGCTCTTGGCTCTCAGTTTGTTGACCTGGGACTCAGCAATGTCAGCACGCTCCTGAGCTTCCTCCATCTCATGCTGAACCTTCCTGAGCCTAGACATGTGAGTGTTGGCCTGCTCCTCCTGTGAAGGCATTGGAGTATTATACATATACAAGACTGTTAATTATGGTATTATTTATTCTAAATTAAATATAGTTCACTCACAGCTTCCTCAGCCTGTCTCTTGTAAGTCTTGACTTTGAGCTGCAGCTTGTCCACCAGATCCTGAAGTCTGTTCACATTCTTCTTGTCCTCCTCAGTCTACACAGATAAAAGTATTTTAAGTGAAAGAGAAGAGACTACAAAGTACTGTGTTGTTTTAGTGAAATTAATTACCTGGTAGGTCAGCTCCTTCACTCTTCTCTCATATTTGCGGACTCCTTTAACAGCATCAGCTCCGCGTCTCTGTTCAGCCTCAACTTCAGCTTCCAGCTCACGCACCTAAAATGTGATCATAAATTATCAAATATTTGTACAAGGATTTGAGGGTGTACAAAGAAGGAAAGTGATTTTATGCTTTTAAAGTATGTTTTTATGTTTTAAAAGCTATCTTTGGGCATTTATACACAGTTCATACCCTGGACTCCAGTTTCTGGAGCTGCTTCTTGCCACCCTTCATGGCGAGGTTCTCAGCCTCATCCAGGCGATGCTGCAGGTCCTTGACTGTGACCTCCAGGTTCTTCTTCATCCTCTCCAGGTGAGAGCTGGTGTCCTGCTCCTTCTTCAGCTCCTCAGCCATCATGGCAGCCTGAAATGTTTCAAATTTATGATACATATTATTATCAGTGCATGATAGTAGACCCAAATATGAAACATTTTCTAAAATAGCAAGGTTAAAGATGTAAACTCACATCAGTGATAGCCTTTTTGGCTTTCTCCTCGGCATTTCTTGCTTCCTGAACAGAATCATCCACTTCACCCTGAACCTGGACAAGGTCAGCCTCCAGTTTCTTCTTGGTGTTCAGAAGACTGGTGTTCTAAATGAAAAAAAGCCATGTTTAATACGATAGTTATGATGTATTTTCAAAATACTATTTTTTTGTGAAGTTATAAAAACACACCTGAGAGTGAAGCAGTCCAACACGCTCACTAGCATCAACCAGCTCCTGCTCAGCCACTTTGCGTCCTCTCTCTGTCTGCTCCAGAGCGGCTCTCAGCTCCTCAATCTCAGCCAGCATCAGGCCATTTCTGCGCTCCACCATGGCAACCTGCTCCTTCATGTCTTCCTGTCCTCTGACAGCATCATCAAGGTGCAGTTGGGCATCCTGGCAAAGAAGTAATTAATGAAATGAACCTTCTGTACTATTACTTGTTTGTTTATATGTAATTGATCATATAAACCTCACCTTCAGCTGTCCCTGGACATTCCTCAGTTGTTTCTGGGCCTCAGCAGCCTGCCTGTTGGCATGGCTCAGCTGAATCTCCATCTCATTCAGGTCTCCTTCCATCTTCTTCTTGACTCTCAGGGCATCATTCCTGCTCCTGACCTCACTGTCGAGAGTGCTCTGCATAGAGTCAATCACCCTCTGGCTGTTCCTCTTGATTTGCTCCATCTCCTCGTCCTTCTCTGCCAGCTTCCTGTCAACCTCA